TCTGATAGTTGCCCCTTGCAAATTGATGTTCTTAAAACTAGCATAGTTGCCCTCAAAGCTTCGCTTCTCGGGCAAATATTTGTTTTAAGAACATCAAATTTCCGCGGGGCAACTATCAGCCGATAGCTCCTCGACAGAAACAATCTATTGTTTAAATAGAAAGCAGAGAGTTGTTGTCGATGGTCATAGTACTGAATATGTTTCTATAAATAGGGGTGTTCCTCGAGGTACAGTCCTGGGGCCGGTCTTATTTTCTATTTTTCTTAACGATATCAAAGTTGATAATACTAATAAGAATCTTCTAGTTAAATTTGCTGATGATATAACTATTAGTTTACCAATCGAGGCAATGCAAATTTAGGCTTAGATGAATCCGAAACGGAAGTCCTATCCTTTATTGAATGGTCCGAGAAGAACTGCATGAAAGTCAACTTAACGAAAACATGGGAACTTCTTTTACGAGGAAAGACTTCCAAGACGCCTCCTGAACCCCTCGAGATCATAGGGAGGAGAGAAAAACTGAAACTATTGGGTGTTACCTTTGAGCAAGTCCCAGTTAATTGGGACATTCATATTGATTATCTACTTAGTAAGGCTAGCAGTAGGTTGTATATTTTAAGAATATGTAAATATTATGGCCACTCTATTGAGAATTTGTACTTACTTTTTCAAAGTTTGATTCTTTCAATTTTTACATATGCTATTGAAGTCTGGGGGTGTGCTTTTTATAGTAAATATTTAAGTAGAATTGATAAGCTCTTTGCCAGGTGTTATAAGCTGCGTTACTGCTTAAAGCAGCACAGTATCTTGGATATCCGTTGTAATAGAGATGAGAAATTATGGCAAAGGATCTCTTCCACCAACACTGCGTTGAGCGATCTCTTACCTCCCCAGAGAACACGGCAGTTGAGAACTAGGTTGCATAATTATACTTTACCTAAGGTTCAGACAAGCCGTTTTAAGTCAGTTTTTATTAATAGATGTCTTTTCAATAGTAATTAATACCTTTTCTGTTTCCTTATTCATTCTATTCATGTTAATTGTTGCACGTCTGTTTGCACAATAGTTCTTAATAAAGACCTTTATTATTAGTTATATCGGTTGACAAAGCCACAGAGCTCACATTTTAAATTTTCGGTGGATAAAATTAGTGTTTATCCTGTGTGATCTAGATATTTCAGTCACTGATGTGAGACTGATCATGACTCACGAACAAGCTGTATCTACAGTGTATACCCTCATCTGAAAAGGGATAGTATTTCACAATTGAATGAAATAACTCATACGTTGATCTGCGGATGAAAAAAACGAAATGAAACGATCCTCGCGAGTGAGGAAAATGAAGAAATTGCAGAAAATAAGCTTGAAAAGATTCAAGCCTCGACAAGATTGAATCCTCTTAAAGACTCTTAATGTCGTGCGGCTTTTAGCTCACTTGATAGCAGAGCTCAACTAGTAAGCTGGGAGCATAGTTAATTGCTATGCTGGGAGGGACGATTGGAGTCTCGTTGGACCTGAATTTAATCATAAGGCCTCTCTTTGCAATTCCTTTTATTTAAGCTCACTTGCGAGGATCGTTTCTTTCAGGGAAAGAACTTCCTTTAATAGTTTGGAAGACCTGGGCGTGTCTTAAAAAGCTATTTTTCTCTCAAACAAACGCTTTGCCTCTTTCTACAGGTACGTAGAAGCAGGATTTAATGACGACAGAGGAGAATTAATATTATTGAGAGATGAAATCGTACAATGACGGCTCGACGAAGCATCTTCCTGGAATACCAACTGGCAAACCAAAACTGCGCCACAACAGCTGGGCAAAACTGCTCACTCAAAATAAATCTAAAGTATGGGAAGAAAGGAATGCAATACTCCCCGAATTACAGGTGAATTGTAAACCTGTCCGTTTGAAAGTTAAACGAACGAGACAATTCAGTTATGATCCTGTTGAAAAGTTTGAGAAATTTTTTAAACAGAACGGTGCAGAGACGGGCAATCTTGAATTGCAACAGGGAGAAGATAGTGAAATAGAGGAGGAATTGTTTGGTCGCATTTTAGATGAGGGTGGTGCCATGGAAGGACTTACTACAAACAATACCGTTAATCAGACTCAAGACAGTGAACTTCAGATTCCAAAGCTTTCCAACAAAGATGAAAAAGGCGGCAAACTTAACCATCTACCATCTCTAACAACTACTTCACCCAAAAAAGTTGAGAAGACGCCGGGTGAAGAGGTTTACCTTGGTAGACAGTCTAGAGTCAAGAAAGACTCTCTTCCAAGTAAAACAAAAGGTGACATTGATTGGCAAAATATTTTTGTGAACGGTGGATTTCGACCATGCGAGTCGCGCGATTTACCAACGAGAGGTGAACTGAATTTATTGAAATACAAAACGTGGGATAATGAAGGCCCTGTATACTGCATCGCAAAGTGCGCGAAGTACTTCGGCCTTGAAAGCGAGATAAGCAAATGAAAGATGGTTCCTGAGGAAGAAGAACTACAAAAACGTTACACCAGTTTCTCTCCCACCCACAAATTTTATCCTCTTCGTGTTCTACACCACCGCGAGAGTTTTCCACCTTTACAGAACTCTCCAGAGACACTGGCGTATTCCCCAGAGAATCCTAGCAAGTGGTATCACTCGTGCAACTCGTGCACGGTTCCCCCGGTAACGCCTGCGTCATCAATGTTCAGATCCTCAACCTTTGGGTGGAGTCCATTATCTCGTAAGGAAAGAAAAAATACTCTTGGCGAACTGGCAGAGGTGTCAGTCGCTGGACAGATAACAGACGAAGGGATTGGTTCACTAACTGAGAGCGAGCTGGAATTTTGAGCAAAGATCTTTCCTTCCTCAAACGATCTAATGAACGCAAAGAAACCATTCGTCATGCTATTACCCTCACTTTCAAAACGAGGCCTAGTCCATCTGCAAACCTCGTTATAGAAAAGAGAGCATTTTACCGTTGAAATCGGCGACGGTTTGATTTTAACAAAGTATTAACACTTTCTTAGCTGGAAATGAATTGCTGTATGTTTGTATACTAATAATGCACATTGTATGTATTGAACCCGAAAACAAGTTCACACTGTTTCAAATTTTAATATCATAGATATATATTTAACAATTATTCCACGAGCGCGCGTTGGATATGAGATGATAGATAGCCAACGAGGCGCGTAGCGCCGAGTTGGCTATAATCATCTCATATCCAACAAGCGCGAGTGGAATAATTGTTTTATTAAAAACGCCCCCAAGAAATTATTATTTTGTAAGAAGAAACTGGATTTTTTAGCTCCCTTTTGATTTTAAGCTGACGCGTACGCTTACCATATTTGTAGATTATGGTATATTGGCTGATATACCATAATGGCTAAGCCAATAAAAAGTCTTGAATTGCATTATCCAATGATCCAGTTTTTAATAAATATATATCTACAAGGAGTCAAAT